GGTGGTCTGCGTAGGTGGTCTGGGTCTGCCTGTTCGTGTGCAGTTCGCTCTATTCGTGGGTCTGGGACGTGGTCATGGACTGGGGCGTTGGCCGGCGTCCACGGCACGAGTTTTTAGCCACGACCCGCATCAAGTCGCGGCGTCACGTCTACTATGGTACGCCGTCTACTTGGAGGCTGATTCTTCAAGTCTTGCGTAGCGGTCGCTATCGGGATTGACCTCGTTCTCAGCTTCTCCTGGACACTGGCGCTGATCCCGCCCGACGCCGGGTCGCCTCTGGGCACGGTGCTGCTCTCGATGCAGCCCATGATGATGTTTATGGAGCCCATGCGCCGCGCCATGTGGAGCTGCCTCGCGATCAAGAACGAGCACCTGCGCAACACACTGGGCTTTCAATCGACGTACTCGCTCCCGCTGCACTTGGATCCGCCGTCGTCTCTTGATGAAGGCAAAGCCTCGGCGACGACATACGTGTACAAGATTGCAGCTCTGAGCGCGGGCTTGCTTTGTCTCAGCGTAGCTGCCATTGTGCTAGGATAATGGAGACCAGAACAACACAACCACGTTCGGATATATATCTCACCATTTGTCCTGCATTGACTTGGCCATGGGCCTTTGCAGCGACAAGGCGCATCCAAATAGAGCCAAAGAACGCCCGGCGCAGCAGCCATTCCGACATGCGACGAGGTCACGACCATCTTGCCGTCTGGGTCTGCAGCATCGTCTCGACGCAAGACAACCTGGCATTGGTCGAGCGCGTGGCTGGTAGAGGCAGGCACGTTGTGATTGATTGGCTTGATGACGACACCGTGAGCTTTGAGGGCTGTAGACCACACCACGTCGTTCGTGCACGGGCGCCAAGGTCTCGTGTTGCCACGATTGACCAATCAGATGCAGTCATATTACTATTGGATTGGATCCACATTTAACGTGATGTTTGTTGTTGAAGTGGGTCTCTATTACAATAGATAAAACTATGCTAAATAAAATTGTCGGACTTTCTTCGTTGTGTGTACTCGGTTGAGGGACTTGATTTAGGCAGGCGGAGGCAGGAGCGCTATCCGCGGAACGAGGTGACGTCGCGGCCACTCATGTTGGGCGAGGAGCTGGAGAAGACGACGAAGAGCAGGCTGCGCGGGCTCTTGTACGAGGCTGTGGTGCAAGTGCAGTTGAGCGACACGTGCCGCCTTGACGGCAATCGTCCATGGACTTGGCAGCGGTAGGTCGGCGCGGAAGACGCGATCGTTCCGGACTCGCCAGACGTTGAACCAGACGCAGGCGCGGATCACGGGCCAGAGGTATCGGAACGCAGCTTGGTGCATGCTGGACGCCGTCTGGGGCGTCGAGTAGAGGTAGCCGGAGAGCGTAGTCGGCAAGGTCACCCCCAAAGGGACCGTGACGGCGTGAAGCGTGCTCCACACGTCCTTGATGAAGTCGCAGTCTACGAGGAAGTGGCGGTACGTCTCGTGCGCGGGGCAGAAGAGGCACGCTTGGTCGGCCCTGTCGAGCCAGTGCAAATGTGCGCGGAACTTGACCGTGCGGAGCATCACTTGGTAGACGAAGTCGGCGTACTTGGGTAAGATAGCGTCGGGTAGCCGGAGCTCGGCTGCGGCGGCTACGGCAGCAGGCGCCTCGTAGAAGTCTTCCTCGACGCCCAGGTGACGGGTCGGTAGCTGCAAGCGCGTCCTTGGCGGGGCACGACGTCGGCGGGCTTCGGCGGGCGTCGTCTGGGTCAACGGCTTGGTGACCTTGTGGAGTCGAACCAGCCATGGCGGCTTGGTTTAACGTGATGTTTGTAAAGTCGATGAGCTTGCGATATTAAAATGCATTGGTGCATTAAAATACAAACATGACGCACATATGCAGTCCAGGTGCGCGAACGTACAATGTACAGACCTTCGATCCTGCATAGGATGCCATCAAGTTCGCGCACCTGAGCTACACATGCGTCTGGGGGTTTCTAACTTGACGAAAAGCAAAGACAGCGCCCGTTTCCACAAGGCTGGGTGGAGCGTGCAGCACCATTTACAGTATATTGATGTATCTCTTGTGGCTCGAGTCGTGGCAGCTATACCGGTAATACTAGACACGGCCAGTTGGTCTCGATCGTGTCGAGAGCGCTTGTGATGATTGTAAATCCTTTGTGGTATCAATAAGATGGCGTGGTTGAAGTCACACTGATTTGGTTTGGCGTACTTTTGCACACGCCTCTTTAGCCACGAAAATCGACGATTCGCCCGCAGCTACAGCATCTTCCAGGCAACGTTCATACTAGTACGATGTACCATGGCCCAATCGTCCATTCTGTAGTAAAGAGGGTCGCTGTCAGCTTGGCTCCGAGCCGTCTTCAAAACTCGAGCCTTAGCCAACCCCACAACGGCTTGGAGCACATCGGCTAGCCGATGATCTCGCACGCTATTAGCAAGTTGACGCAGTCCGATGGTTTGTGCAACCTTGGGTAGGTGCGCAATCTTTTGCTCCGTACGCCTCCAACCGCGCGATCATTCGCAAGTTCAAACCACCCCTGTCCACAATTCACTTGAGCTTTTTTGGATCGTGTTCCAAACGTAACGCATCGCACGATGTCGGCCGCCGGAAATATGGGGTGGGCACCAACATCTTGGGTCGGCAGTGGGAAGATGGCATCGAGGGAGCAGCCAAGCTCGGGTTGTCCAGAGCTGTCGTGGCGAACGAGAGAAATTTTTTGTCAGATCGCAATCAGCAAGGTGTAACAGCCCAGGGTGGGACGCCTTTTCGTTTTCTCACGCCACGACCCACGCAGCGCCGTCCATCGGCCAACAAAAGACCCCTTCTCGCCCGATGAGAGTGTATTATACAGCAATAAAGTCGACGATTTGTGGTTTGGAACGACTGCTTTGTGACGCGCGTCGCAGCGCCTGCAAGATACCCTCTAACGTTAGCCGTCTCCCTAGACTTCGGCATGGGTCAGCGTAATTGGACCACATGGTCTTGTCCAGCCCCCGGCTCCTTTGCTTGATACAATTTCCAAGTCTACATATTCAACGACTGTGACGAAACGCTGGGAACACCGTCGATGCTACATGGCAGGCGTCTGTGCTCAAGACTTTTCTGCAATCAGTTTGGAATTTGCAGCGGGCCCCAATAATGACCTCAAAGAAGCAGATCGGTGCCATGGAGCTCCAAGAACGCGTCTCGTATGTCTCGGCGACGCAGGACAAGCCAGCGGGCGACGACTATGCCGACGCCAAGACGCCCGGCGATCTCGAAGACGGCGCCCTCCGCGCCGGTGGCGCCCCCGACTACTTGAGCCGCGAAGTGCTCGGCTTGCTCTCGCAGTACGTCTGCGTCGGCCTCATCTACGGCTGCCTGCCCAACATTCTCTACCCCGTCTTCACCGGTTTACTACCACATGACCGGCGCTCAGTACAACTCGGCCAAGACATTGGTGACTATCGGCTGGTCGCTCAAGGTGTTTGTTGGCATGATCTCGGACTGCGTGCCCATCAAGGGCTACCGCCGCAAGTCGTGGATGGTGATCGGCTGGACGTGCTGCCTCTGCTTCCTCCTCATCCTCTCGTGCATGGACCTCGGCGATCCATACTACCCGGTTGATGCCGTCGGCCTCAAGGACCCGATCAACCGCACGGCGGCCGACAATGCAA